TAAATCATGGTTCTTCACGTACTTTGGGTTTGCCAGGCCCTCTGAGACTCTGCATGGGATGGTGGGCAGGGTTGATGAGCCCTGCTCTAGCAACAAGTTATGAAATAGACCCTTACGTGCGGTGATGGGGAAGGCTCAGGTGATTGAAAACCAGACTGAGTGGTCCAGGTATTCTGGTGATTGAATACCAGGCTACCCCAGCCTGGGGGGTTCAGGATGGCGTGGGGCTCTGGCCCAGATATTTGTCACCCCCGTCCCTGCCCCAGGAGTGCCCCAGGGAGTCATCCGGGCAAGGTGTTTTGTGTGCATCAGCCTGTGGGCTAGTTCCTGTTCTCGCTCTGGAAGTTAAGACTGGGCAAGGGCAATAAAGCCCTGCCCTGCGGCGCCGTGTTTAACCGAAAGTGGTATTAGCTCCTGAGCAGTGCAGCAGGGAGGGAAACGCTCCTTGACTGGGGTGCTCGGAAAAGGTCATCCCGAGGAGGGGACCCGTGGACTGAGACCTGGATATGGGTGACGAGGCAGCCACGCGGGGATCTGGGGAAGAAAGCTCCAGGGCCTGAGGCAGGAGTGAGCGTGGCATATGCCAGGTACGCAGAGAAGGCCACGTGGCTGGAGCTGAGTGAGTACAGAGCAGAGGAGACAGGTGAGGACAGAGGCACGAAGGAGCCGGGCCAGGTAGGACCATCCAGTTCTCAGTGAGGATGGAATTATGTTCTACTTTCTGTAGTGCCTCTTGGTAGGTTGTAAGTTGGATGGCGTGATCTGATTTTGGAATGATCCTGCAGAGTGAGGGGATGGATGTGGGACCGTGTTCTGAGGTGGAATTTTGGGGCAGGAGGGATTGAATGGTCTCTTAGCCAGGTATGTAGAGATGTCACTCTCATGTGTTAGTGACCCATTCTGGAGTCTAAACCCCCATCTCAGGAAGGGGTGGAACGGATGAGGATGAATCCTGTTGATGGAAGGGAGGTCTGGCTGTTGAGCCCTGGGATGCGCAGGCAGGGTTTGGTGGCAGGTCCACTCCACCGCTGGCTGTGTGGAGTGGCCCGAGGTAAAGGGAAGATGAGGTTTTGTGCTGTGCAGCCCGGAGAGGGAGCCTTTCAAGTAGGAAGGAGCAATGAGCTGTCCCCCTGGGGGGTGGAATAGGAAGAGGACATAAAGTTAACTTTAGCTTTGACAAGGTGGGGGTTGTTGGTGACCTTGACCAGAGCTGCTTTTTGCTCTGCGGGGGCTGACACCCACCTGGAGTTGGCCGAGGAGCCAGTGGGACATGAGGAAATGGAGATGGTGACTTAGGACATTTCTTTCAAGGACTCTTGCCTAGAAGGGGAGCAGGACAATTGGGCACTGGCTGGAGGTGGTCCAGGGGTTAAGGAAGATACGGCGCAGGTGTGATGCCAGTGGGATTGAGAGAGACACAGTCATTGATTCTGCTGTGCAGGAGGGCGAGGGCGCGATCATGAAGAGGCTTGTAACACCGGAAGCAGGTATTGCTGACCAGTGTCTGTGGGCAGATGGAGAAGGAAGGACAGAGTGAGCGGCCACGGTGCCACCTTTCACCTCCAAGGTGGATTTTGGCATTTCCTGTTTGGATTGGAATTTTTTTCCCCCTCCATACCAGCTGGCTTCCTTACACTTATTTTTAATTGTAGTTGACACTCAGTATCGTATTAGTTTCAGGTGTACAGTATAGTGACTCAACATTCATATACCTCATGAAGTGATCACCGCAGTGTCTAGTGACCGTCTGTCACCGTCCACAGTTGTTAGGCCTGAAACTCTTGAGAGCAAGGCAGACTTACCAACACTTCTCCGGCCTCCACCCTTGATTGTACAGCATCACCTCCTGACGATGTATCTCAAAGTTGCGGGGGTTTCTGTCCTGGAGAAATAGGGTGGAATTCAATGGCAGGGCATTTACCCAGGTCTTTCCTGAGCTCAGACAACTTTCACCAACGTCATCATTGCCCTGAAGTCGGGCAGGGCCCGGCATTGGACGTGGTTCCTTAGTAGATACATCTCGGGGCCCTTCCTCATGGGGGGACTGGCTGTCCCATCCTCGAGATGTGTGGCTTCCAGACCTGCACTGCTCCCGGCCTGGAGAGCCCCAGCCCGCTGTATGGCGGAGAGCCACCCACCAGGCTGGCAGTCTCCCACTTTGGCCACTTGTACATCCAGCTGTCATCATCCCGCTGGCTGTGCTCCTTGGCCTTGTGCCCTGACCTCGGGTTCTCATCCTGATCTGTGCAGCTGGAGGGAACCTCTCCCAGTGCTGCCGTGGCTCAGGGTCCTGATGTCCCCGTGTCATCAGAGGCTTTTCAGAACAGATTCCTTGCTCTTGGGAAGCTGTGCTCACTTGCCTGATCGTACTTTTGCAGCACCAGACTCAAGTGGTGGAGCTCCTGAACCCAGAATTGTGACCATCTGTCTGGTGGCTGAAGGCTGCTGCAGCTTGCTGGGCGTTTTGCAGAGTTGGCAGTGCGCATGGTCGAGAGTTAATCATTTTTCAGTTAGTGTGCACTGGGGCAGAACAGGAAGGGACAAAAAGGAACAGTCAGGAAGGTGAGGCCTGGGAGAGCGTGGTGGGGAGATTTGGGGGGCGGGGGAGGGGAGGAGCGATGCCAGGCCCCTGGCTGGGGAGGCTGCCGGGCCCTTCCCTGCCGAGTTCTTGGTGGTGATTTGTTGTCTTCATCTGCCCAGGAGCTGGGAGTCTGGGTGAGACCTGAGAATTGGGCTGCAGAGCCCTCAGGGACCCCCGTGGGGCCAGTCTGGACTCTCTAGAACTGGTGACCTTCTAAGCTTCGTGTTTTCATTATGAAATACTGATCTCACCTACTTGCTGCTTGCCCACGGGCTGCTCAGAGCTGATCTGCAAAGCTCCCACCTCCTCAGAGTAGTTCTCTTTTTTAAAAAGAGGATAATGGACGCCCGTGTTCCCATACCCTAGCTCAGTGATGGCGAACCTATGACACGCGTGTCAGAGGTGACACGCGAACTCATTTTTTGGGTTGATTTTTCTTTGTTAAATGTATAAAATAAATATAAAAAATATAAGTCTTTGTTTTACTGTGGTTGCAAGTATCAAAAAATTTCTATATGTGACACGGCACCAGAGTTAAGTTAGGGTTTTTCAAAATGCTGACACGCCGAGCTCAAAAGGTTCGCCATCACTGCCCTAGCTCCAAAAATTACCAACTCATCCAATCTTGTGTCATTTCTACCCCCCACACCTGACTCCGGATATTTTGAAGCCAAGCACAGATAGACTGTTTTTGCACAGAGAGTTTTTATAATGTTTGGTTTGTTTGGACGAGATAACAGTGAGCGGTGGAGCTGGGACTGCCCGGGCTCCGCAGGCCGGGTGGAGTATGCAGAGGGCAGCCTGCTGTTGCTGTGACCACTTCCAGGTGTTGGAACCAGCACAGGTTTCATTCAGCAGTTTGTCCCCTTCCGCATTATTTCCACAGCCACAGTCTTTATAACAAACACCTGTAACTACCCGTTTTCTTAAGCTTCTCACCCTCCAGTTTAGGGACAGATGGTTTCCAAGAGGCCAGGAATGGTGATCCTGGGTGAGAAATACGGATGCGCGTGTCTGTGTCTGTTCTGAACTGCACGGGGCTGGGCTTTATGGGTTCTGATCACAGGTGTGTCAGGAAACAACGCTCCCAGCCAGCATAGCATTTTGAGGGCACTAGCATTTCTTACATTTAAAAAAAATCATTGTAATCATTATTTGTGTTAGACCTGTTTCTAGTGCAAAATCTCACTTTGACTTGGGGAAATGCAAATCAAAACCACAGAGACACCACTTTAAACCCATGAGGATGGCTATTACGGAAAGAACCGAACATGACAGATGTTGGGAGGGTTGTGGAGAAATTGGAACCCTTGTGCACTGTTCATGCGACTGTAAAATGGTGCAGCTGCTATGGAAAATAGTGTGGTGGTTCCTCGAAAAGTTAAAAAATAAAACTACCATAGGATCCAGCAATGCACTTCTGGGCATATACCCAGAAGAATTGAGAGCAGGATCTGTCGTGATATTTGCACACCCATGTTCATAGCAGTGTTACTCATAATAGCCAAAGGTAGAAACAACCCAGGTATCAACTGCCAGATGAGTGGATAAACGAAATGGGGTCTAGGATGCAGTGGAATATTATTCAGCCTTAAAAAGGAAGGCAGTCCTGCCACCGGCCACAGCGTGGATGAGCCTTGAGGACGCTGTGGTAAGTGAAATACGTCAGACACACAAGAACAAATACTGTATGATTCCATTTATGTGATGTACCCAGAGCAGTCAAATTCATAGAAACAGAAAGTAGAGTGGTGGTTGCCAGGGAGTGGGGGAGGGGAGAATGGGGAAGTTATTGTTCAATGGGCGGGGTGTCAATTTTGCCAGATAAAAAATTCTGTGGCCCTAGCTGGTTTGGCTCAGTGGGTAGAGCAGACTGAAGGGTCCCGGGTTCGATTCCGGTCAAGGGCACATGCCTGGGTTGCTGGCTCCATCCCCAGTAAGGGGTGTGCAGAAGGCAGCCATTCAATGATTCTCATAATTAATGTTTCTCTCTCTCTCTCTCTCTCTCTCTCTCTCTCTCTCCTGAAATCAATAAAAATATATTTTAAAAAAAAGTTCTGTGGATGGTGGTGGTGGCATAACCCTTTGAATATGCCGAGTCCCACCAAGCTGTACACTTAAAAATGGCAATTTGATATTACGCCCACTTACCACAGTTAAAAGTGCTTACACTCTCCCTGGCTTGCCGAGGAAGGGAGGCAGGTGGGCCGGGAGGGGTGGTGGGCGGCCCTTTGCTCACTGGCTCCCCAGAGAACTTGGCTTTCCTGGTCCCCCGGAGTGAGTCCTATATAGGGGTCATCAGATGGCGTCTGCAGAGCCAGGATTGCTTCCCACCACACACACTGAGGTTAATCGGCACGGGGTCGGGTGAAGGCCTTGCCTGCATCTACTGCAGAGGAGAACTGGTTAAAAGTGAAGAGCTGAGGCCCCTCGTGAGCACAGACGGTGCCCTGTCCAGAGAGCAGGGACCCTGCCGTTGCTGCCTCGGTGACTTACAAAGTGCAGGGTCAGCCTCTGAGCCCAGCGTGCAGCCTGTTGCTGAGTGAGAGGCGCCTCCCTTCACAGTGACAGGTGCCTCCCGTGAGTATGGTGTCGTACGTGTAATTTATGGCCCAAACTGGGAAACCTGAGGTGACATTGCTAAGAGAAGTTATTAAGAATTTTGCCGGAACAACAGGTGTCCCCAGGACTGTCCCAGGCAGACCAGGATATGTGGTCGCCCCCCCCTCCCCTCCCCCAGAGGCAAAGCCAGCCTGGTGGGGAAGGACTTAAAGGCGGCTCCCTTCTCCTGACTGGTCACGGCATCTTTGTGAGTGGAGAGCCTTCTTCTCTTCCTGCGGCCTTTATCGCACTCCTTCTCCCACGGGGGGACAGTCAGTACCTCCTACGCTGGGCTGACAGAACTGCCCACGTGTGAGCTGGACCCCGTGTGATGTTAGAGCCCCAGGTCCGAGTGCAGATGTTCCTCCCCTTCCATCTCTGGGTAACTGATGCCGTCAGAAAGCGAAAGGCTAGTGTTTTTTCATGTAGCATCTTTTCATTTTCACTGCTGAGAAGAAGTGGTTCCGTTTTCTCTTCAAGTTTTGTTTCATAAACGTTTGCAATTGCATGAAAACTCTGCACGAGACGCCCCAGCTGCACCACATTCCCTCCTCGAGCTCCGCTCTCCTGCCTCATCACCAGGGTCATCCGGTGGCCCGTCCTCGCAGCCTTGAGGCCTGCGCTTTCATGCGCACATCCCCGCGCGTAGCTCATCCAGGTGGCTGCAGTTTTCCTGAGTGTACTTTTGGAAATTCCCGTATTGGGCATTTAGGTTGTTTCCATTTCTTTTACGATCCCAGATAAGGACGCAGTGGTTGGTTTTGTGTAATACAGATTCTTCCGTGTGGGGGAGGACAGGGATGATTTGCTGGAGTCAAGTCCCGGGAGGGAGATTAAATGGGTCAGAAGGTGTGTTCCTTGTTCCGATGGCCTGACGTGTTTATATAGTCCAAATTGCTTCTCCAGAAGGGCTGTCCCAGTTCCTAAGAAAGAGATCAGCTAATCACACAGGTGTGCCTGTTTCTCCAACGCTTGCCAAGGCAGAGGTCAAGTCAGGGGTCACTTAATCGGAGGCTCTCCTGGCTACTTGCTGCCTGCGGAGCTGGCCTGCAGGGCCTGGGTGCTTGGAGGCTGATCCCCGGAGGGGAGGGGGGCGGGTTTGAGGTGCACTGCTCTGCGCCGGGCACCTGTGACCGTTGTGGCTCACAGGTAGTCTCAGGTCTCTGACTGGAGTGCGTGTGACTCAGCATCTCTGTCAGCACCTACTCAACTCAGCACGGCCCGGCTGCTGGAGCGACTTGTCTTCTGCGTGGGAGTCTCATTCCCATCTTGTTCGTACCTTTTCCCCCAGAAATGCTTTTTGAAAATAACACCCCTGTTGAGGTGTAAATGAGACAATAACATTTAGCCATTTCAAGTGTACAGGTGGATGCGTTGACAACTGGGTGCCCATGGAACCACCATCATCACCCAGTGAAGACAGAAAACATGTCCCCCACTTCGGAAGCTGCCCTGTGCGCTCTGCAGCCGACCCCCCTTCTGCAGGTAGCCACCCGCCCGCCTCCTGCCACTGTAAAGCAGGTTTGACTCGGGGATCTGACTTCTGTAGGTTTTTCTCTGTTTTTTCTTTTTCAGCTTCATTGATTTCTTTTGAAATAAATTTTTTTTTATTGATTCTCTTATTTTTATTATCTCCTTTCTTCTACTTTGGAATTATTTTGCTGTTTTTCTAGCATCTAAGGTAGAAGATTCAGTCATTGATTATAAATCTTTTTTCCCTAGTATAAGTATTTTATGTATATGCTTCCTGCATCCCATTTTGATCTATTTTCATTTCAGTGGTTAAAATATACATACATACTCTGTATGTAATGTGTCTTTTCTTTTCTCCCCTGGCTCACTTCAAGAGTTTGACTTTATTCTATTTCTTTCTTTCTTTTTTCCAGAGAGAGGTAGGAGATGGGAGAGAGAGATAGAAACATCAATGATGAAAGAGAATCATTGATCAGCTTCCTCCTGTATGCCCTCTACTGGGATTGAGCCTGCACTCTGGGTATATGCCCTGACCAGGATCCAGCTGGTGACCTCCTGATGCATGGGATGATGCTCAACCAACTGAGCCACACTGGCTGGGCTTTATTCTATTTCTAATGGTTTCATTTGGGTCTTTTTTTATATTTTCTACTAGAGGCCCGGTGCACAGATTTATGCACAGGTGGGATCCCTTGGCCTGGCCTGTGGGGATCGGGCAGGAACTGGCTCTCCGACATCCCCTGAGGGGTACCGGATTGTGAGAGGGCGGTTCTCGGGTGATGCACCCCGGAACCGGGCTCCCTCCTCTCTTGTTCCAGGTGCATCATCTGAGAACCGCAGCTGCCAAGTCACCGCAGCTCGGCAGCTCCTGTGTTGAGCGTCTGTCCCCTGGTGGTCAGTACGTGTCATAGCTACCGGTCGGAGCGTCTGCCCCCTGGTGGTCATTGCGCATCATAGCTACCGGTCGGACCTTCGAACGGTCAGACGGTCACTTAGGCTTTTATATATATAGATTTCTCTCTTCATTCTGTTTATTTTTTCCTTTAAATCCCTGAGGCTATTTACCATATCTGTTTTAGAATCTTTGCTAATTCAATTTTCTGTCATACCTTTCTTTTTCTA